TGCTCAGACAGGGGCTGTTGGCCAAATCAAGTCAAGTTGATCCTTTTTTCCAAGAAAGAACCAGACTAGTACTTCACATTCAGAGTACATGTGTTTTCACTTCACCAACACAAATATATTGTCAGCTAATGGCAAAAAATTAGTTTTGGGCGACAGACCTTCAAAACAACATTTTTAATATTTGTGCTCATCTCATTACCCTGTCAATGCGGTGTCAGAAACGTGAAGTATTTCTTTTTTTATTCATGAGCTGGTAGTGGATAATTGCTTATGCATTTTTAAAGGTGTAGTATGTAGAATACACAGGAGGGAAAATACCAGCAGGCTTAAACCCTCAGAGGACTGGAGCGAAAGTGGGAAACTGCCCAAATGATCAGTCAGAAATATCCTGATACAGAGATAAAAGGAGTATGGGACTGTTCACTGGGTGGCCAGAAACACGACTCCAAATGAATGCTGATGTTGCTTCACGATAGCAACTGTTTGTTAACATGTTAGCAATAATAATGTTGTGTAATATTGTGTTTATTGAAATGATCAGAACAGGGATGAATTTCTGTATGGTCTTCCACTGACATCCTCTTATTTTATTTTACTCTTTATCAGTGTAGGAGGAGCTGAAGTGCCAATTAGCTACATAAGATCTTGCTCATTAACTTTGACTCTGAAATTTTTATTCTTTTTAATTCAAATAAATTGTAAAATAATGTTTACAATTGCTTCAGTTTGACCTTCAGTTCTTCCTGTTTTGCGTGCTCCTGCTCTGAACACCATGCAGTTTGATTCATCGTGTTACTTTAATGTCACTGATTGTCATTTTCAACAAGCTGACCTTTTTTTCAGATTATGCCATATCGCCTGCGCTGCCTTCAACACAAACACAGTCACCCTGTGTTCTTTGCCGCTCCTCATCTTTCTACTCGGTCACACTTTTTTTATGGCTGAAAATCCATCAAGTAACAAGCATTTGAGCAAAAAAAGGCCTCTGGATTTTCCTGTTGGTAGAAGCAGCTGTGATGTTAAGCAGCTATCATGTGCCTTACTGTGCCTTGTCTCCGTCATGTGATGTAGAGAGAAGCCGCCTCCCTCAGTAACGACATCACACACAGAAGGATTTAGCACACTGTCACTTTTGTTTTTGTTTTTTAATTAGCTGAGCTGCTCTGTGAAGGTCTAGTTAAGTGCTCAATCAAAGAAACTAATGAACAAAAACTTTCTAAATCAGATCATCCTCCTCTTTTGCCTTTTTTTTTTTTTTTTTGCTCATCATGTCATGATGTGTTGATTGAGCAATGCGTTGTAAGAAAGAGTAGACGAGACGTCCTCTTTATTTCTGACTGCTTGAAGAGAACTGAAACCGTCAGCATCAGGCTCGAGGCACTCCATCCCTCTGGCCCAAACTGCTCCAGAAATAGGGCCTGTTTTTGTAAGAGGATCCAACACAGAGATGCAGCCACCTCCCCCCCTTCTTTTCCCAGTGAGAATGTGGTGGTCTGCCGGGTCTCTGAAGTGGAGAGAAGTGTCTGTTATGTGATTAGAGAGTCTGTTTAACTTATTTAGAGATGTAAGAAACATGATGTCTGCAGTTATCCCTCATGGTTTTGCATGTAGCAGAGGAGCTTCTCCCCAAATTTAGAGGCAACGAACTTTTCACTCTGCTCTGTCCTCCTCCCTGTCTTATCAGTGATGAAATTCATTATTATTTTCCACTGAAAAGGACCATTTTTTGTTTGTTTTTCTTCATTTTGATATATAAGCAGTAAGATGACATTTGCACGAGGTTACGGTTGAATTTTTTGCATCTGTATCAGAGCCATCAGATGGAATTTCAGATTTTATTTGGAGTGAGTCGTCCGGTTTGGATCCTGTGCTATATTTGAATGTATTTGAGGAACTTCACATCCAGATCTGTTTGTGTTAATGACAAATGTGTTTCCTGTTTGATTTTGAAGTTCCTGTTTGTCCTGCAGCTTCCAGCATCACGCTTTTGTTTTACTTCTGCCTGCTTGCAACATCCAAACATGAGACTGAGCCAAGTCATCTCTGTGTCATTCTGTGGTTTGACTAACTAGTCAAGTTGCAAAATTGTTGTGAATAATTTGTGTTTTGATATCTTCCATAGGATGTTGCTGCTGGTTAACTCGACAGCAGTTGTGCAGTGCGGAGTGATGGATGTTTGACAGAGGGAGGGTGGTTGTAATCGTGGGAGTTGTTGGTGAAATTCATCTGTCAAACAGGCTTTAAACGCTTCTCCCTTTGGAACGATGTGACGTACTGTCACTGTGCAGTTTATACTAAGACTTTCTAATATTGTTGCATGGAAGTAAACATCCATATACAGCTGTCATGTGTGAAACAATGATTTTTAGATAAAAGCCTGAAAACGAAAGTATGTTTGACATTCAGTTATTTTGTCGAATTGATGGGTTACAGAAATTGAACCAAAATGCACATTATTATTTTGCAAGAGTGAGTACTTCAAATGCTCAAAAACCAACAGGACGAGTCTGCGTCACTCCCTTAAAGCCCTCATCTTTAATAAAAAGCTTTCAATTGGAGAAGATGGAGATGCAACGATGAAGTGCAACCATGTGTTGGTGCAGTCCGGGGGGGGGGGTCTCTCAGGTGTCATGCTGTGTTCCTCCTACAGAGCTGCACATCGAAGGGGGTGGGGGGGTCACATGTTGGCATTTAAATGTTACTAGCGTCCTCAGGGCCTTGGAAATAAGTCACAGTCCAACCTCATGTATCGGCCAATTTATATATCTGCTTCCTCCTGCCATTTTTGTTGTTAATGTAATTGTGCTAAATTGCTAGCGGTATAGAAATACACGGTGTAATCTCATTCATTTCAGGCTTTTTCCAGTAGTCTAGATAATGCAACAATTCCTCACACTTTACGTTCCTGACATTTTTTCTGACTTTTTTCATACTCACTCTCTTACTTTTGTTTGGCTCAGGCCAATCTCCTGTGTATCAATCTAAAGTCTCAATTATTATTTTGTAAAATTTGATGTAATAATGGATTTAAAATGTGACTTCGCATTCTTGTGCACTCAATATCTTTATTGAAAATTTATCAAATCTCAAGAAAACTGGAACAGTAATTTGAAATTGTAAATTTTGAAGCTGCAACAATAAGTTCATTTATGGGTTAGTCAGTCAAAGGAAAATTAATCGGCAGCTGTTTTGATAATTGGTTAATTTTTAAATATTTTTCGAGCAAAAATTCCAAGTGACAGTGAGTTCCAGCTTCTTAAATTTGAGGATTTGCTGCTTTTCTTTATGTTTGTAAATTAAATATCTGTTTAAGTGTTTATCAGACAAATCAAGAACGTTGGAAGATGCCACTTGGGGTGTGGTGCTGTGACGAGTGTTTTTCACTACTTTCTGGCATTTCGTAGATTGAATGATCAATTGTTAATCAAGAAAAGCGGCAGATAATAAAAGTCATTTGAAGTTGCAGCCCTAAAAAATTTTGTGCAGATGCCCTCTTGTACTCCGGCTCTTTTTCCAGATGACTCTGTTTACTTGTGCTTTACTTTCTTTTCATGTTGTCTACATATGAACTATTACAGATATTATGGCAGTTTAATGCACTGACAGTCAGCGAGCACATCATCAATGCTCCTTGGTTTGCTTTTCTTGGCCCTCACACCTTCAGACCGCTAATGTGCCAGAGAGTCGGTCTCTGAGGTGTTGAAAGTGAAAATTAGAGAAGCATTTAGTCACTTCGCATGTTCTGCTGGTTAACGTCACCTCTGCCACGTCCACGTCACCTCTCCACCTCTTGTCTTGTGTTTCTGTACTGAGGCTATTTTAACACCTTCGGGCACATATGGCACTAAGGTTACAACAGTTGTCACACATAACACATATGGCTCGTTCTAAACTTTTATAAACTCAAGCTGTATCTCTTGGTCATTTTGTGATGTGATTTGTGATGTGATGAAGCCACATGAGCCAAATGTGTTTTTTTTTAGTGGTTAATTTATGCGGCGTGCACGCGTGCGATGTGTAACTTTTCATTTGCTTGTTTCCAAATGAGTCTCCAGCTGGCGATACGCTTCCTGATCAAACACTTGCGTTTTTAGCACACTGTATCATTACCCAACACATCACACACACCCTTCTGCACTGATGCCTATACACGTTTCTTCGTGTGCTATAATGATGCCACCACACCACAGTAAAGACCACGGGGGAAAAGGGGAATTTACCAGCGTTGAGTTTTAGTTTGAGGTCTTGTTTATAGCTTTTAAAAATGGCAACCCACAGTCTCCTCAGTATGCACAAGCTGTCAGATTCCTGCAGTGGCAGCGTGTAGTGGTAACTGCAGAAAGGTGTGGCTCCCCAAAGACCACTCAGCTAAACAGATAATTACACAGTAACTCTGTTTTTATTGGTTTTAATTTATTGACCACCATCACATTTAACAGTATGAGGAGTAACAGTGCAGTGAAGCATCTGTATGATCCAGTATCCTCTACCATTTAGAGAGCCCAGTCCTGCCCACTTTCCAGTTATTTTCTGTTCCATTAGCTTTCATCACTCGACTTGGTTTCTTGTGAAGGGCTTCTGTCATTATTCCTTTTTCAAAATCTAAAACATGATATACTGAGGTTGAGCTTTCGGGCTTCTCTGGGTTTTGAAATCTGGGCTTCTGCGGCAAAGGGTGAGGTCCGAACATTGCTTCTTTCTTTTCACTCAGAGTTGTAGGAGCTTTGATCGACTGTCTAGATATTTTCGATTTTTTTTCCTTCACTGAATCTGTTATCTGGCACCAGGTCTAAATATAGGACTCTGCACACAACTACTGTTTTGCATCTTCTTTGGCTAAGACACATGAAATAGGGTGTTGAATGATGACAAAATTATTTGTTACTAACCACTAAATTCCCACATATGACACATGAAAGAACTACATTGACTGACTCTCTATATCCGTCTCCCCATCAAATGTTAACATGTACTTTCTCTTTCCTTCTTTCTGTCTCCAGTGAACAGAGTATCTGCCAGGCGCGGGCCTCTGTGATGGTTTACGATGATGCCAGTAAGAAGTGGGTGCCCATCAAGCCTGGGCAGCAGGGCTTCAGCCGCATCAACATCTACCACAACACTGCCAACAACACCTTCAGAGTGGTGGGCGTCAAACTGCAGGACCAGCAGGTGAGGGACGCAAGGACATAGTCAGCATTACACACATTGGTGAACATTTCTAAAGACCTCAGAAATCTGGATCTCCAAATTTATATATAGCAGTCCTCATATAATCTCCTTACTCCTCCATCTGACACATCTGGGATGCTTAATAGTCTTCAGGATCGATGAATTCTGTGATAAAGCATTACTATAGCTAACTGTCCATACTATGCTTCTCTCACACCGCCTGCCCGTCTGATCCTCTTCACTAAGTGACTTCCTACATTTCCCATAATGACTTTTGAGGACTGTCACACACCTGGTGCTTATGCCACGTTCATGTCGCATGAGATGGATGTTGGAGATGGCAAAGATTCCCTTGTTAACTTGAGAGTATCATCAAGAACTCGTAATTATGATAGCTCCGATATGACATGAAGGCGGCATTAGAAATAAGACAATGAGACAAATTAACAGCTGTGTCTTTGCTCAAAATGCAAACTTTTTTGAGGTATATATTATATTATAATTTATGTCTTTTTAGGGGTTTGTAACTACAGAAATGTGTTTCTTCATCTCATGTCTTGAATTTAGTCAAATATGATGCGACATGACGATCTTAGAGTAAACCCTGTCTCTTTGATGGACTTGGTTCGACTCCAAAACATGATGCCAGTTGTTCATGGTTGAGACATCTGAAAAAATCTCTCACTTTCAAAGTCGACACTTTTGTCATTTATCCACAAGCAAAAAGAAAATAATACCATTATTGTAGCTTGAGTTTGTCCTTATTGTACATTTGCTGGTTCTGTAGAGGTTAGAAAATCGTGCAGTGAAGCAGAGGGACGCTGGAGTCAAATCCCCAAGCAGCTGGTAAAATGTGGGGGAGAAAATGAGCAAGAATCTCCTTCCACTCCTTCAACACCAGCTGTTGATGAACATTGGGGTGAAATACTTGATCAACAGTTGTCCATACTTAACCGACATGTCTTCCCTTGTGATTTTCACATTATCAAATCTACATAACATTTTAATTCACAGCTTTGTTTTTCTTTTTTCCATTGAAGGTGGTGATCAACTACTCCATAGTGAAAGGCCTGAAATACAATCAGGCCACTCCGACCTTCCATCAGTGGCGTGACGCTCGCCAAGTCTATGGGCTGAACTTTGCCAGTAAGGAGGAGGCCACCACCTTCTCCAACGCCATGTTGTTCGCCCTCAATGTCCTCAGCTCACCTGACAGCGGAGGTAAGGATTCATGATATGTGGAATAAATGCATCTTATCATTATTTTAATCTATCCTATTAAAAATTCACTCACCATTTTGCTCCAGGCATTGATGTCTTGATTTGTATTTGACTTCTTGGCAGGCCATCCGGTAATTCTAAGACATTTTCTGAATGTTTCAGTGAGTCACGTTGAACAGTTCGTCTCCACAGAGAAATGGGGGATGGAAGTTTTTCAATCGTTAGCTTGAGTTGGAAACCTGCTGATGTTTTCCAGTTGGAGCTTTAAACGGATTTCAGTTCAAATTACAACAGACTGTCTTCGGTTGTCATCTGTGATCAATTTAAATCTTATTTTGCTCTCAAAAGAATGTCAGGTAACCACAATTAAACAATCCAGATAAGTGACTACGTGGACACAGTTTAACTGATATTTTCTGATCAAACCTTACTCTTTTAAACAGGATGTAAACTGTAATAACTACAGCAGAAGTATGTTGAAAATGAACGAGAAGACATTCAAGCAATAAACAATAATGTGAATTGTTGATTATACTATATGTTCACATTGAATTGAAAGCCTATGAAGTGTAACCACTAAACTAAGCTGTACTACCCTCTGCTGGTTGATAACATGTACTGCAGCTACACTCTGCTCAGTAAACCAAACAATAACAACAATATCAGGGGTGGTTGGTTGCTGACTGGAAATGTGTTATATTATCCTCATTCAAAGATTTTTTTTTGTATTTTCACCTTTACTGGACAGCTGATTGAGTTTAGAGACAGAATAGGGAATGAGTAGAGAGAGAGAGAGAGATGTTTGACATGCATCAAATGTCTGCAGCTGGAATCAAACCAGGGATGTTGCGGTTACCTCACATTAGCCCTATTTAAAGCGTTACTGTTGCGTTATTCACCACAGGTTTCCAAAGTGAAACATAATAACTCTGTATAGCAGGGAAGCAGCATTGTTAGAGACGTGTGTTCAGATCAGCAGAGGTGCAGTTCTTTATGATTTTTCCCACTTGACCAGTGAATAAATTCTGTTGGAGTCCTGAAGTGTACTTGAAGTCTAACTAACACCTACTCTTAGTTTACCAAATAGCTTCTGACCAGCTCTGGTTACAAGCTACTTATAAGTCGTGTGTGAGAATATCTGTGAGTGTTTAACTGCGGTGTCATCCCATCTCATCCTTGTGACTCTCCTATTGGCGGCTAAAATATCCCATATGGAGCCTTAATGTCGTACCCCACCGTGCTCACATGGCAGCCCTCCTTTTTTTGGGTGCATTTGGATGTGGGATCATGGGGCTCCTCATGCCAGGCAAAAGTGTCTCTGTTCATGGTAAACACCTCCTTACTCACTCTACCATGTTGTTTACGCTGTTTCTTGTTGAAAGAAGTCTTATTTGCTCTCTAGTACACTGGGCAGTTAAGTGAAGTTTCTCACTATGTTGACTCCAGAGATTTCCCCTGGTGTCCTCAGACGGGTTTCTTCAGCCATCATCATCCTCAGTAAGTGTTGTGCTATAGAGAAATATGTCCACTGGCCATGCATGTTTTCCATGGTAACAGACTGCTTGGCAAATGGAGGGAAGCTGAGCTTCAGCCATTTCCTCACTAAGAGAAAGAGACAGTTTGTTACTTTGCTTTGTTGCTGCTGTTAGTCTGCCAAAGCACTGCATATCAGTCATTGCTGGGAATGACATTATAAACATCACAGAGCTGAAATTATTACTAAATTAATTAATTAGATGTTTAGTTGATCAGCAGAAAAATAATCTACAACTAGTTTGATAAATGAATGAATTGTTTCAGTCATTTTTCAAGCAAAAACTGTGAAACTTGAACTCTTGAAAAAAATAATCAGTGGATTGATCAATAATGAAAATAATCATAAGTCGCAACCTAAGGACATCTAAGTTGCTTTTCCTTCTACCCACCCCAAACAGCAAGGTAGAGAACATGTTTTTTATTTTTTGTAAGAGTTTATTGCACACATCTGCCAGGAAGGGAGGACAGCCTGAAAATGTTTTGTACAGCTCAACAACTATCTGTTCAGACTAGGAGACTAAAATGATGTGAAGTAGTAAACTATAATCCTAAACTGGAAGGCCCATTACCAATTTTGGAAAAACATCAGGGGATGATACAGAAGAGTGCAAACCATAATAAAAGTCTAATAAAAGACTTAGAGACGGGTCATTTAGAGGTGAAGGCAGTGAATCGATTGTGTCCTTCTGTCTGTTTCAGTCTCTTTGCTGATACTTTTATGGAGGCAGATGTTTGTTATTCATGATCTTTTAATGTAGTGAAAGAATGGCAGAGTACAATCAGCAGGACTAATTGATTTTTTTCTTTGATCACATTAAGACAACTCATACATACACACACACACACACACACTCACAATGGTCTCCTGAGCTCCAAATAAAATGCTTACAAGTCTGATCAGGCCCTCTCATCCCCAGGGCTTACTGTTCTTCCTTGACCTTCGCCGTGGCAACAGCCAGAGCTATATACCATGCACCATGTTAGCAGGGGAAACACATATGCATATGCATGGGTACACATGCAAAACGCAGGGTGATAATTGTTTCCTTTACATCTGCCTCATTAATGTGTGAAGTGAAGTGATGATGAAAAGCCTCAGGTTATGTTGAAAGACTGAATCCCTGAAGTCTAATGTGAGAGGATACATACTGCACTTGTTGGAAGGTGGAGCAGATAGGCAGCAGGTGGATGTAGCATCTAATATTTTCAAGGTATCTGTAGCTTGATATAGACATTAAGTATCTGCAAGAAAATGTTGTCAGGTGGTATTTCTACTGTCACCGTCAACTTCCTCTTAGCATCCTATTCTATATCAGCAGTGCAGCTCTAAAATGCCTAATTAGGCCGGATCAAAGCAAACTGGTTTATTACCTCTGTATCCTGTCTTCTTGCAGAGAGGGAGAGCGAGAGAGAGAGTTTCTTTGTTTTTAACCCTCAGAATATTTGCTAAATTTAATCTGCAGCTTTGCCAGCAGAGCACATAATTGCCATGAGCTAACAAGCATAGTTCAAGGGAGTGTGAGGGAGCGAGGGAAACAAGACATCTTCAAGGCGTCGCTTTTTTACTTTGCAGCACAACGAAAGAAGGTGAGGTGTGTCATTTTCAGCAAGTGAAAGCTGCTTTTTCCAAGCGCATTCACTTACTGCCAGATGACAGTAATCACCAAGTCAAGTCAGTTTTATGGACAGGAAAAAAATGAAAGGAAACCTCAGGAAGAGTAACACAGGAGTGATCCCTCTTCCTCGACAGACAAAAATGCAATATGTGCATTTGGAAGAAATGACAGTAGAAAAATAGTAATATGGAGAAACAAAATTACAGTTAATATAATGCATAATATAACAATTTTTTTATTATTAGCATGTCAGTCACCTGCAAAACACTAATTTGTAAGAAAGGTGTCATCAGAAAAAGTGGGGTTGTCGGATTTGATTGATTGAAGTTTGATGGCACATAATAGTAAGTAAATAAGAGGAAATAAGTTAAAGCATTTCAGGCAATAGCATAATATTTTAATAGAAAGCTCTAAGCTCTAGCTGATAGTCAGAAAGACACATTTCATACAAAAGACTCAAGTGAAAACCATATGTTGAATTTGGTTTAAAAAATTAAATAAATCAATGAAATGTAGTTAAAATCATCACTTTCAGTCCTCTGTGCTTTTCAAACTGCAGCTCTGCCTCATATTGACAGCCCCCACTGCCCCGCCCGCCTGCCCGCCACCCGCCCGCCACCCCATGCTCCAGACACAGCGAACGGAAATATCACCCGTGGGTGTTCTTGATGTCACAGTGGGCGCTGAAGTTTAATGACTGGTATTCTGGTGATATGTGATAAGTGCTCTCCCTGATGCTTCCTGTTAATAGCCACCCCAGAATTGTTGGTGGGGGGGGGGGGTTGTCTGAAGACTGACTGTAGTTGGTCAACAAGCCAGGTGCTAAACTGAGATGGTCATGTGACTGATGTTGATTATTTAACATTCAACACCAACTGTTAACCTGTTGCCTGTGTGGAGGTAACGTCATTAAACACTGTTGACATAGTGACTTAAACACTGATGAATGATCTTTTATTGAAAGGCTTTGAAGGCTCACACCACTCCCGTGTATTCATGTACTCTTAAACCCATTAGAATATGTTCAATATCTTTTAATTTGTTTGCTTCAGGAGCTATTTTATATTTACATGTTTTTCTGTGAAATTGTCAGTGCTGCTGTTTATTCCACTCTCTCCGGTTCCTTTCCTGTTGTGGTTTACAGTTGAAATTCCTGTGGCTGGCAACATGTTGAGCAAATTACATTATAAACAGCTTGTTGGCTCCCGGGGACAAAGTCACAGTACCTCACATGATGCCTGCTGCTGTGTGCTCATTTAGTAAACACAGCTTCTCTTCCTGCACTCACTACTGGGTGTGTTTTGTTCATCATGATTATAATTTTTAGGACTTGTTTGCAGATGAAATTGTAATTACTGGTGTTGCACAAACATATTTTAAATAAAAACAACTTTTAATTCAGGGTAAGAAGGTTCGATTTTTGTTTAGACCCGCTCTGAATACTATGAGGAACTATTTAGGAAACAAATGCAAGTTTCAACAGTCTGGGGCAATTACAGCAGAACAAAAGTTGTATTAGAAAAAGGACAAAAACATGGGGGGGGGTGGGGGCAGACACTGGTCATCAGGAGCCAATCCTTTTAGCAAAGGAGGATGATGTAAAAAGAGGGAGAACAAGAATAAGGGAAACAAAGGGACAGAGCAGATGAGAAGATTGAAGAAGAGAGGTAGGTCAGAGGCTAGAGAGGATGAAGACAGACCTGCAACAAGGAAGTTGTCCCGATACTTTTGGCCATATATTGTATTTTGATGTTGGGTCATGCACATATTCCTGTTTCTAATGGTGTCTACTGCTGTAAAAGCCGACGTGGGTTTTAGCTTTTGTTGCACTCATCAAAAAGACGAGCTGCAGATGAATCGCCGGTGTGTGGATCGATACTAAATTTTTATTTTTATGTGGCTGATTTTTTTTTTTTTTTCTCCCCTTGTGTCTTGCAGGTCCAGCTGTCCAGCGCCAAAATGGGCCCTCCTCAGATGAAAGTGAGGCACAGAGGAGGTACGATTGCGATCCGCTCTGCTGGATACAAGACCATAAACGAAGCAGTCAGAAAATCAAAACACAAAAATTGCACACTCAAAAAAATCCCAAGCATGTGGAACAAAATATTTAAAAGCATAAAGTTGTTTTTTTACTGCTCTGGTTACAGACAGTGGTAGATTTAAAAGTGCACATGGAAACATGTCGTCTAGTACAATGATGTGGCTCATTTATATGTGAGGAATAAGCTTTACCAGGCTTTAGCTATAAATACAATACTTGTTAGATGAGATAAAGCTTCATGATCATCTTTGCAGCTAATTTATTCTCATACTTCTAATTTAGTCGCACCATAATACCGAGAAACCTCTCCATAACTTTATTTTAGGACATTGCAACCTTCAGTGTTCTGGTCAGTTTACCACTGATGATAGCGTTAGACACAGAGAGACAGTCAAACTACACATTGGGCTTGATTTGTAAAGACTTAAGACTTAAAAGCTGCAGGTTTTACGTGCAGTGACATCCTTGCGATTCATAGGATGATGGAGCAACATCAGATGCAGGCGCACAAGGAGAGGGAGCGACGGACGTCAGGATCAGGTGAGGCTTAAACAAATGCGCCCACACCCAGCTATATAAACACACACACACGCACTGTCTGACCCTCTCTCTTACACACACGCTGCTCCGGAGACCAAAATGAATTGAAGACTGCGTAGCGAATGCTCCTAGCTGCACAAACATTTTAGACAAAACGGTCAACAAAAAACCTCGCAGCACATTCCAGCTGTCAGTAAACAACCTTGGCGGGGAGCAGATGGATATTTGCTCGGCTTTGTCTGTTTTTGTTTTTTTTTTGTTTTTTTTTATGAGTTATCAGTGTTGAGTCAGGCAAAGCACACTCTACTTTGCCAAAGCAAACAGGTGATCATTAATAAATACCAGAGATTCCAAACCCTGATACAGCAGGTAAATAGGCTTCCCCAGTGTTGTTCGTTGTAGTGTTTCCCGCTTTAGTTTCAACCACTACTCCCCGGTCTGTTTGCCCTTATGCTTTTTTACCCATGCACACATATAAATGTTCAAGTCTGCCCCGTAAATACACACACAGACTTAAACATCCTCCTTTGTCCCTGCTGTCAGTGGCGATATCAGTACCCCCCCCCCACCCCACCCACCCCCCCACCCCCCGGCCCCGCAACATGCTCTACTGCCATCTCTTTCTTCCAGCTACTGTTGGGGGGAAATGCCATATGCTTTCTGATCATGGCTCAGTCATGTTGCATTCTGCTGCTTGTTCTTTTTATGATATTTTGATTCTTTCTTATTTGCTATTGGCTTTCCGTTTTTGGATTGCTCCTGATTTTCTCATCTTTACTTGCTTGGTTGCTCAGTTGGTTGCTTTTCATTCTTCTCACGTTTTTCTCTTTTCTGTTTTCCTTTGTTTGTTGCCCTCCTTCGTCCTCCTCTTCGTCTGCATCTCCTCTTCCCCTCTCTCCTCTCTCTGTCTTTTCTCTCTCTGCCCGTCACAGTCGTTTCCACTCTCCAATATAAAGTCTCCACCCCTCCCATCCACCCAGACACTCCTCCTGAGTACAGACAGTACAGAGCTAGCACACTGCCACCCTCCTACGTCCGCGTGGCCTCCTCCTCTCCTCCCTCCTCCGCCTCCTCCTCTCCCTCTCAGGAGAAAGAGGCAGGGGCAGCTAGGGACAAGGCCCAGCTCTCCTCCCAGCTCTCCACCTCGCTTGCCTCAGCCTTTTCCCCAGTCCAGGCAGGAGTGACCACCCAGGGCCGACAGGTCCGTCAGATCCCCTTGTCTCCTCCCACAGCAGCCCGCCACCTACACCTTCAACAACAACAGCAGCATCAAGACATCATGCTCCCCCCTAAACACGGCACCTGGTCCGCCTCTCATATGCAGCAAATGTACGCTCAGTTGCCCCCCTCATCCTCCCCTCCAGTCATGATGGCCATGCCTGTGAAGCAGGGTTTGCCCCCACAGCCCGTCCTCCCAATGGCCCACCCCCTCCCACCTCTGAGCACTAGGATGAAGCCCCCACCTCTTGACCCGAGCGCCATGACCGTCTCTCACCAGTACCCCCAGCATCAGCCCCACCCTCACGCCAATGGCCAGCCAGAAGACTCCTACTCTCCTCATTCTCAGCATCTGCCACTCACCCCTCAGCTCTGCGAGGCCGTCCCCCTGCCTCCTCTGATAGGTCACACAGCCCCAGGCCCCGCCCCCAGCCACCAGCCCCATTACCCATCCACCTTCCACCCTCAGCACCATCAGCAACAACAGCAACAGGTGTACCACCAACAGGCCCAGCCCCTCACCACCACTTCCTCTTCCTCCTCCTCACCCCCCTCTTACACTGCAATGTCTGACGGGGGCTCGCCCAAGAAGACCCCCTCCCCCGTCCCTCAGCAGGCCCCCATGGTGAACAGCAGTAAGTATTAGGAGGAGAGAGGAGGAGGTAGTCTCTCAGCAGAGGGATGTTAAATGTATATTGTATGTGTGTGTGTGTGTGTGTCTGTGTATGTGTGTGTGTGTGTGTGTGTGTGTGTAAGGTGGGTCATGTGCATTCACTCTAAGGAATGTACCATACCCATATTGGTACAGCAGAAGAAGAAAAAGGCACATATGTCATATGCACATCTCTTCCCAGGAGTGTAAGGGTTTGCACATACTCTGCTTGATCTGCCCCACTCTGTTGCACCTATAGGGTGAGACAATGGTTTTATGGCATCATGTAATTCCCAGTATAGTCACTCCAAACAACTTCAGTCTAATGGAAGGTCTAATCCAGGCCAGAATAACATGGTTGTGCGCAGGCTGTAAATCAAACAAGAAACTCTTTCAGCAGTGAAGAACTCGTTCACCTTTTTATACAAAGTTCTCAAATGTTTGCACAATGCAGCAGGACAGTAGGCTTGTCACTTGTCATAGTAGAAAAACAAAGTTTACTAATAATAACAATTGCCCAGTTCTGATGAGGCATCCCAGTAAGCTAGGGCTGCACGATTTTAGAAAAAACTGACTGAATGACTGACTGGCTGCAATATTTTTTTCTGTGATATACTGTATATTGCAGTATGAATAAAATACAGTTAAAGTGCCCCTTTCTAGAGCCTAAATAATTCCATACAATGGAATGCAACAAACTCTGTGTCCAAGAACTCTTAAATCAGAGTGGATTATGTTGTATCCGATATATAAAATGAGAACCGTGCAAATTTTCCTTTTGTATCCAGCAGCAAAAAAGTTGTTGCATGACATGTTTGAGTTAATTTGCTTTACTTGACATTGCACACCCTGTACAATAACAGGACTGTGAAACTGAAGCAGCTAAATGGAATTCAGACATTGTTCAAATCTTGTTTACACCTGTGATTTTTCTACTGTGACATGTCAAAATGTCTTTCGATCTTAAACATACAAGCAATGCAGCCAAGGAATTTTTATGACCAAGTGGTTAAATATTCTTGCTGTCAAGTCAGTCAGCTGAAGTTATTCCAACTCAACAGGTGTTAAGTTTGTGAAAACACCAGACTGAAGACGAAAAGCTGTTGAAACAAGCAGGGAGCGATGAAGGCTGCAGTGCAGGGCTGAGGGAGAGAGAGAACTAGAGAAGATGCAGAAGATAGCAAGACTGGTAGACTAGAGCAAGGAATGAAAAGCAAAGAATTTTCAAATAACTATTAAATACGATGATTTACGTCTATGCTAACTTTTCCAAAATACTCAAGTCCTCCAAGATGAGTAATTATGTAAAATATGTTCATTTGAAATGGGTGTAAACAAGCTCAAATTAAATCTTCATCATTCTGAAGGCACATTTAAAGTTTTCAGATACAGCCTTAGTTTTCCTTTTCCAGACATAGTTAAAAGGATCATATGCATGCTGCAGCAGTGTCGCTTTAAACTGTCTCAGATATTTCCCACATGTACTTACTGAACTACAGTTTCAGTAGTTTTGAAAACTGCAACTAAATTACCATGAGATGATAAGATAGCTTCAACAAAAATATGAATACCTGTACAGAAAAATTAATAAATGCCACTATGATGGATTACCTATTTCAAATGAGTTTTAAGTCTCATTTTAAACAAAATGAAACCAGTGGCTGCCAGTAAAGTATGAAATCTGAAAACTGTAACACCTGAGCAGTTTCCCAACTTGACACTTTACCAAACAGCCAATGTCTTTCTCCCAGTGAATACCTCTAATGCGCAAATCATTTCCAGTTGCTTCATTAGCGCTGCCCAGTGGCCAGCTGCCTTGCACTAAGCAGTTGTTAGGTGTTTGTTACACAGTGAGAGTGGGCAGCATTTCATTCCTGAGATGGTGCTCAGTCAATCTTCCAAATGGGGGCAAAGATCAACAAACTGATACAGCCATTAACTGATCTCTAATTCTGCCCCTCCCAGGCCCCCCTGTCTCTGCAGGTCACCCATCCATGCTTTCTGTGGCGCCTCCTCCAGCTGCAGCTCCACCACCCATGGCTGGTCCTCCAGCCCCACCACCACCACCAGGTCCACCACCCCCAATGGCAGTGCCCCCACCCATGCCCCCTCCACTGCCCACTGGTGGAGGGCCTCCTGGGGGACCGCCTGGGATCCAGCACCAACCCTCAGGACTGGCTGCGGCGTTGGCCGGAGCCAAACTACGTAAAGTACATAGGGTGAGCCTCCCTGGTTGAACCTCAGGAGGTGTAGATCAAGTCCTTCTGGTTTTATCAGTTTATCAGTATTTAATCACTGAAGCCACGTTATATTTGTTGCACAAAGAGTCCTCTCAGTCTAAAGAGCCACCGAGCCATGAACTCAAACTCATTTTATAATGTGTTCCTCAGGATGAGAGCAGTCCGCCCGGGTCTGGTGGCAAAAGTGACTCCAACCGGTCTAGTGGTGGCAGTGGTGGTGGTGGGGAGGGGCTGATGCAGGAGATGAATGCCTTACTAGCTCGCAGGTTAACCGCTAAACAAACAAACACACACACACCCACACACCCACACCCACACCCACACACACCCTATTCTGTAAGCCACTCTATCACATATTATATCGACATTTTCATTTTGTCTCTGTTTGCCTTGCAGTAAATGTTTATCTTAAAAGGGAAATAAGTTCTTGTGCTAATATTTTATCTTGGTCACAATCTCTCCATACTAGTTACTGAATTATTTTTATATTTGTCTTACTGAATGCTCACATTCTCATTTCCACCCTCTCGCAGACGGAAAGCCTCAGAGAAACCTGATGAAGTAAGTTTGTGCCTCAAAACAATATTTTGACAGTTAATTAATTTAACTTATTGTGGAGAGCTGAGCTGAGCTTATTGATGAAGCTGGAGCCAGGAGACAGTTAGCTTAGCTTGCGGGGGGAAACGGCTAGCTAGCTAACGACAAGTTGTGGCTTTACGAGGGGGGGGGTTTGGTGATGCGTTTATATTTAGATGTGTATATATATGTATAGACATCAGAGTGGTGTCAATGTTCTCACCCAACTCTTGGCAAGAAAGCAAATCTGTGTATTTCCATGCCATTTGAAATTTAACCTGGAAACTTACAGCAAAGCAGGTTGACAGTCGTGTGATCATCCCTTTTTTTCTCTCTCCTGCAGGATGACTCCAGTGGTCGGGGGCCCGGTCAGCAGAACTCGACAGGTAAAGACCACTCTTCTACCCACATCATTGTATAACGCACCTAATGCATTATGAAACTGCATGCCTTAAGAGATCTCCTGCTCTGAATTATAGCCCACTGTTGCAGAGTTATTTCATTTTTAGGTCATTTATTCTTTCCCCCTCTCTAGATGCTGTGAAGAAGCCATGGGAGCGATCCAACTCTGCAGAAAAGTCCTCACTGGTGTCCAGGTCTGCAGATAAGAGGAGGAGGAATGTGACCTGAATATGAAACACAGATGTGAAACCTCTGGCAGTAACAATGGGGATTTCAGAAGACATTTCAGAATAAATCTTATCTTTTGCACTACAAACACTAGGAAATGTGACAGAAATTAAATATTGATATAAGAAGAAGAGTCAAAACTTTGGTTTAACAACAGTGCCCCACCCTTAAATTATGCAGTCTTGTACTCTACCAAATGACATCCTCTTTGTGTTGCAGAGTGAGACCCATCGGCAGCACTAGTGAATCGGACACAGAGTTTGACAGGATGAAACAGGTTGGTACAGTTCTCCACTGTGTTTTAACGTGTTTACGGGTTTTAATGATTTTACACACCCTGTGTTGCTGAAAAGAAATTCACAAGCCGATCTTGTCCTGCAGGAAATTTTGGATGAAGTTGTACGTGAGTTGCATAAGGTGAAGGACGAAATCATTAATGGTAAGCAGTGCAGTTTTTTTTTACAGTTCATTGCAGTAGCCTGTGGCACACAGCATGTTTAATCTTTCATCTTTTCCACACACTAGTTTTTACAGCTCAAAATCTTCCTATACTCATTCTAACACTAAAAAGCGAGCTGAGACCTTTGATATGAACAAATTAAATACCTGGTCCTGCATGAGTGCAAAGCCCTTTTGCTGCAGAAAGCCTCTGTCTCTTTACATGCTGCGTTCTGTTCTTGCAGCCATCAGACAAGAAATCGGCAGAATCAGTACATCCTAATCTCATCTGAGCAACAGTAGGAGGAGAGCGAGAGGAGGAGCTGGAGGAGGATGGACATACAGATGCAGATGCACAGACACGAGGACCAAGGAATGTTCTCTCAATGTTTCTGTGATGATGCGAGTTGCAGAGATGTTGTGCCAACATTTGAGTCTGCTGGACAGCGAAAATGGAAGTTAAAAAAAAAAAAACAGAGATGAGAGAGAAGGGATTAATGAGAAAGAAAGGCAGAAGAAATGGATGGATAAAGAATAATTAAAGGACTGCTGAACTAAACAGAGGATGAAAGATAAACTGGAAGATGAATTGAGGGATGGACGAACATTCGTGCTGAGTTTGGTGTTGTGGTCCTCTCTGTGCACCTATAGACTCAGTCAGCCCAGTGTTGCAACTCTTTGTTCTCTGTTCAGTCCAAGTCATAAGAAGAAAATATTTTTGTTTTCTAAGTTTTTACTGTTTTATTATTTAAAAACTGTGGTGATAATGATGATGCTGTTGATGACAATGAGTATTTTATTGATATTATAGAAGGAGAAAGGAATCTTGCACACCATTTATGTCAGCCTTTTATATTTTCTATTATTATTTCTTGTTTAGTTTATCCCTAACTATTTGACAATAACAAGCACAATATGGGCAAAATGGTGCTGCAGACTCACCTGCCCTCAACTGGCATATTTAAAAAAAAAAAAAAAAAAAACAGGCTTTTTATGACCTTGTTCATACTGGTGTTGTGTGTCTAACCTTTTCTCTCCAGAGATGATGGAAAACATGTTAATGTTTGAACTACAATTAGCCACTTAAATTACCTCTTTCCTCCACATACAAAGCATAATGCATTACAAATGAGCAAAAAGATTTTTTGGCATATACTCAAATAACACACTCTTGCTCTACAACTCCAGTGTGACCGAGGTACACATTTCTGTCTACCTGTTCAGATGTGTGAGATCATTGAAACTTGGGGATCATTCACAAAACAGGCCGATAACTGTAAATGTGCCACCTGGTTTTACCTAGATATAAAACAATGTAGTACTATCTCTATTAGTCATCCTATGCTTTGTGAACCTAACAAGTATGCATGAAACCCCCATCTCTATGAATTAGTTTTTCATTTGGTTTGAAAAAAAATAAAATAAAATTGAAAAAAATAAAAACGGTGGTACATTTATTATAGTGGTTTGTTTCCATGAAGATTCCCCTGTCTATATACGAGATGTTGAACTTGATAATGGTAGCAATGTGGAAAAAAATAAAGGGGGTTGCTCTGGCAATATGCAAAATATACCTAGATAAGAATGTGCAGAAAGTGAAGGGTAGGCCTATGTGATGGTAGATAAATGTGTCTTTGCAGAAAGGGTTTGGTTGAATATCGGATGTTGCATTCTATCCACTCTGTCCGCTCTCAACTACGTTCTGATTTAAAAGCTGGAAGTAAATTCATTCAAACAAAAAAACAACAGATGTGTCAACCATCTACGCAAAATCCTGCTGTGTGTGTGGGTGTGGGTGTGGGTGTGGGTGTGGGTGTGAGAAGGTTTAAATGGTTTTCACCTGCAGAGCATACAGTACATGCTTAAATAAAAAAGGGTCACATCTTGTTACCGAAAGACAGACAGGAAATGACAAATCAACCACAAGCTCGTATTGTTTATAATGGTATCTTTTTATAAAGATCTTTTACTATCTTTTAAATAGAAACAACAGAGATCATGGTTATCAATCATAACATAAAAATTAAGTTGTATTTACAGTGGGTGGACAAAATTACAAACAACTTACAATACAGTAGCCCTATAGTAAATACTAAATCAGTGAAGCACGTTATGTTTTTATTCATAAGTCAGAAGTGTTGATTTGCTGTAGTTTATATTGTTAAGACACTTTCAGTGAGTGAAGGTCAGGGTCTACTTGTGACCACTATTTTTTTTACTAATGGTGTTTTCTTGTGTTTTGACTTTGTAATTTAAGAGGGTTTTTTTCCCCCTCATCTCATTACATATAATTTTGTATTTTGTGCTGGATGCATCATCAATTCAGGCAGCATGAAAAAAGTTTGGTACTCAGCTTAACAAGTCTCTCTTGTTGGCTTGTCAGGAGTTGCTGCCTCAGTTAATGGTGGCAATCTCTAAACTCAAGAAGATACTGACCAAATACAGGAAAACTGCATGATCAAAGAGTGAAAGTGGAATACAAGAAGAACCTCGGCAACACAGACTATGTTATATTTCATGAACATTACAAACTACAGCCTGAAAAAATACCACCAGGTCCTTTCAGCAGCCCTGACACGTTTAAACGTTTAAACCTCATCAAACTTAGATTTTCTAAAAACGACTTTTTTTTTGCCTTGTACGTTGTTTCTGTTATTTTTATCCATTCCCTGTAGATATAATCAAACTGTTAACAGCAGGGTGGAGCTGCGAACAAGCAGAATGGGGAATCGCTGAAGAAAAGGCTCTTCTTACTGAAAGGTAAGTTTCAATGCTCATTTTCCACTTCAGCACTGTTCTGTGCGATGGATGTGAAATTGTATTGGGGTAATCCGAGAGGCATTGTGTTTCTTGATTTTCACCTTTGGAAATTCTTAAGGAGACCTGATGTAATGTTCACAGGCAGGAGCGCAATCAAGCAGAGGTAACAACAGCTCTGTAATACCTCATGAGAATGCATGTGACCCTAAGAAATGAGGATGTTTATATTGAATACTTTTATACTATTATCATCACTTGGTGTCTTCTTGTCTTCTGGGTCCAAGACAATGTCATTGTCATCACTGTCATGACTGCGGGCCATTTGTTTATAGCAGGAATAGAAACATGAATAAATAATGGTAAGGAACCCATCTAGCTGTACATGCTGACAATCTGAATTTGCATTTCCATAAACTGTATGTATGCAGGTGATAATGTGCGCATTCATTTTACAGATAGTAACTGAAGAACAGGAATAATTTAAGATGAAAATGTCCAACGTGTTAGAAAGTGCACATACAGTGACAACCACACTATACGGAAAAACAAAACGTTTAAACTGGAGAATATTTCATTGAGGTCAATAGATTTTTAACAACTTAAATTCACATTCCTGTTTCATGGGAAGTATAATCAGTCACAGATCTATTCCTGCTTGCTTAGCTTGTACTCCCGTTTGATTCTGGCGTAGGGGCCGATGCTGTCATCGAACACAAAGTCCCATAGTACCCGGGTCCAGGAAGTGTGTTGAGGCAGGGAGTCATAATACTCTGCTGCAATTTGCTTGACCTGTCAACAACAACCAAATACAAAAACAAGATATTACTGAGAATGAGAGCTTATAAAAGAATACGTATGCAAATCAGAAATACATAGATATATCTAAATTGCAGATGTAAAGTGCCAGAAGCACCTCTGTACAGACAGAGGTCTAATCCAACATGACACCTTCATTTCACTAGGGTAATCAGATACAAACACAAAGGCTGATAGAAGCAGACATTTCACTGTTTTGTTGAACAAGAGCAAGACAACACATTGCATGACATCTACTCACAAATCCAATTTCTTTTGGTCAAAATAGCAGTAACCAGAGTGTCATTTAAAAATAAAATATATCACTTTATAGTTCAGAAGCAGATTTTTCAAACCACAGAGGGCAACATTCCCTCTGTTAACAGCAAAAATGGTTCATAAACTAAAGAATTTCCAAATAAATTGGATTAGTTTCATTAGTCATTGCCAGTCATAAGACAGGTGTCTCACTTTGAATCTATTCATGCTCTCGTGGTGTTAGGGAGGCAGCAGTTAATCAGTTACAAGTCTTTCATCTGATAAATATTTGCAGTTGATAGAAAAAAATGTGACGTGTGGCATTTGCTAATACCATTTTGTTTAGATTCTGAAAGACAAGAAAGGTCTGTCTTATCTGCCGACGCCTGGAGGAGATTTAAGTGTTGTAACTGTCCTCATTCTCTACCACTGCATTAATAATAGTGTCAGAAAAAACAACTCCAGTCCAGAGATTACCTGTTGGAAATGTAGTCATGGTTTCCCACAGTAACACAGTCTCACCTGAGGTAGTTTACTGCCAGGTATGCTGGGGAAGTCATGGTGCTCCATGTGATACCCGACATTGAAGGTGATCCAGTTAAGTGGTCCATAGTAAGAATATGTCTCGTGTCCCTTCAGGAACATGTAATGCTCAGCTATGAAATGTCCAGAGATAGGATGCAGTCCCATACACAGGATAGATCCTGCAATGAGGTAGACAATGGGCTTCAGCCCCCATAGATAGTAGATAATTAAATCTACTGTGAGCTGAACTACTGCGTTCTGGATCTCCAGCTGACACACTGGTTTAGGATTAACTACCAAAGGGCGCAGGGCATAGAAAAGCGGCTGGAGGAAGAGCCACAGGACTTTCCTGGTAGGGGTGCAGAAGAACCATCCCTCAAAGTCTGTAGGGATGTCAACATCCAGCTGGTCACCTCCCAGATACCGATGGTGGTCGATGTGGTACTTCTTGAAAGACGCGGAGTAGGGCAGCCCGATGGGCAGGTTGGCCCACATGGCAAACCAGCGGTTCCACTTTGCCAGCTTGTTGCCAAAGGCCACATTGTGAGAGATGTCGTGGATAGCCAGAGTCAGGGAGTGGTTGATGCAGCCTCCGAAGGCGTAAGCCCAAAAGAAGATCCACTTCCAGGAGAGGTCGTGGACCAGGTAGCACGCCAGAAGCTGGGTTAAGACCATGCCTGATACCACCCACTTCAGCTGGGGGTCTGGACCCATCAGAGACTTGATTTCTGGATATTTGGCTGAGGAGAGAGCGAGGTAGAAAGAGGAATAAAAAGGGACATGGTCAGATATGAGAAGATTGTGGAAAAGGAGTCGGAGAAAGGGTTAAAGGTTCAGAAAAAAACAAAAAGGAAGAGAGTTGAAAACCAGAAAACAGTAAAAGGAAGCAAATGAAAAAAGAAAGTAGTGAATGGAAATGGTAGATAAGGACAGAAAAGGGTAACAGATTCATTTAATTTTTTTAAATAATGATGATGTAAAGAAAGTAAAATATCTGTAATGAATCCAGCAGAGAAGGTTGTTTACCAGGACTAATTCACTGTCATTTTATCAAAGGTTGATCTTATACATATCAATGTGTCACGCTGTGATCCAATACTGTGTATCCCAAAGAACACAGTCAAGCGTGTTGTAAGGTACCAGCCCCTCTCCTGGGAAGAGCTTGCTGACAAAAGTCATCTTTAATTGGCAGAGGTGTTGTTTTGCTGAGGGACATGAAACTCAAGGAGATACAAAGGAGTGGTTCAAAAACATTCAATGCTACATAAAGAACTAGGTTGGGTTTGTATGACCTTTAAACCATTATCTACTAATTAAGACATACAAGCTGTGATTTGTTACACTGACCACACCTTGTAGCTAACTTTACATCCATCCAAAATTCAGGATACCCCATCATGCATCAGAGGAAAGATAGCCATCCAGCATCAGGTGATAGTACATGCAAATATAAGCTTGCCTCTTTGCTTTCAGCTGACTTGTGTAACACCCCTATGCAAACTGGGCTTACATAAAGGTTGCCTGGAGCCTGGATTCAGTGACAATGATGTAGCTTTCCCCTGTACCGACTACACCCTCTTTATTCAGTTAAAGTATAGCCAAGAAAACTTACTGCTGCTTCCCCAAGGTGACTAATTTTAAAACAATAATTTATCAATATGTTGTTCCAACCTTATCTTAAGTACATGTTCTTTATTTTTTTTTTTTTTTTTAATCTGCAGTATTATTTGAACTCGCCTACAATGTGTCCAGTTTCTCATGCTTTTTGTAGCCATGTGTATAGGCAATATGCTTCTCAGGTGCTGCTGTTGTAGCCCACCCACAGGGCATAAAGTTAAATCAATAACCAGACATCATAAAAGAAGTTGTTTAAACTGCTTAAAGCTACAGCAACATGCTTCAGCTTCACTGTGTCACAGAGATAACAAGTCATTTCATTTACTGTAGCTATAAGGTTTCAGCCTCAAGTTTCAGCTAAAAATGATCTGAGATTCAGCGGCACAAATCATGCATTGTTCAAAAATACAGTTCTCTAGAGCTGCTAAAAATGATCGATCACCACGCAGTGTCACAATTATCACTCATTTCTGTGACCTCAGAAGAGACAGCATGCGCCAATTTCCTTTTAAGATGAAGAATGGTATAAAGTTTAACATGAGAGTTGAGTCTACTTCACCTACAGACTGACTCACCAACCAACAAGCCATTCAGTTCATAAAACTGCTTTCAAATCAAAATAACCCACAAGATGAGAAAGGAAGTGAGGTACAGTGACCTCTGACATTCACATCCCTCTGTCTATCCCCTCAGGGCAGGACAGAAGATAATTAAAACAAAACGCTTTAATAATTTAAGGCTTGTGGCGTCAAACAACCCATCACCGTCTGGATGCTTCTTTCACACCAGAGCAATCATGCAACTGCTGGACAAAGCCAGGATCAAATATACATCGACAGGTTTAGAGCGTGTTAAACTAAAGTGTTTTCAATTGAATTACATGATCAAGTATATAATCAAAGAGGTTGGTGATACAGATTTCATACCCTTGAAAAAACAGGAAAACATGAAGGATCATAGACTGAATACACTATTTAGATATTCACTTGCATTAATATACTAATGATGGGAGATGTGGTTTAAGATGGTATAGTGAATGAGGATTATTCTTTCACGGATCCTCCCAGATCACCTAACAAAGCCTCTCTTCACACTTCACGCATAGCATTGTATCTGTGTTTGTCAGGAGCCGGGACTGTGTCTTGTTACCTAGCAAGCCCAGAGGCATTGTCAACTGCACCTGCTATCAATGCAGGTCAGAGAAAAAGATGACAGAGAGGCACCTAGGTTTACACAAAAAGAACAGGTTAATGTTTTCTGTGACTTTCTTGGAACACAACTAAATAATTTTCAGGTTAAGATCAAGACTGAGACTGAAACATGGAATTACTTTCATAGCTATCTGAGTATCTACACCATGGCTTTTGCTCTGACATTGGGAGGGAGGTCTCCCTGGAATGACAAAGTCTGTCACCTGCCTTTGCTGCTGGTAACTACACTCCCTCTTCTAAGAACAAGTGAATTCTGCTTACAAAATGAAAATAATGTAGATAATGTAGCCACAAAGTCTTGAGTCAACTGTGACAGGGAGCAACACACATGCTTGAAAAATGTGTCTTGAATTTAATGGAATTTATACTTAACTTTTTTCTTTGACATCCATGTGCACTGAATTACAAATTAAATCACATTATTAATTTCTTGACCTTAAAAATATGCAATTTTAAAAGAATATTTCTACTTGTATTAAAAATACAGTGTAACTTCCATTTATATGTAAGTGAATTACACCACAATCTGTTAACTTAAGGGGGGTTTGAGTTTCTACACTTGCCCTGCATCCATTGTTGACATGGTTTGTTAAGCAACAGCTAGTAAACAGGTTTAACCGGCTACCATTTATAGTCAGAAAAAAACGCACGCTTTAACTTATTCCACAAACTAACCAGACTTATTACTCAGCAGATTTCTCAGTGTTGACACAGCTGTTTTGTTTTCTATAATTTCTTACCCAGTATTTCTTTTCTTCTTGAAGTGTGCGGCTGGTCATTGTAGACCCATTCAAAGTCGCCTCTTCCACCTGTCTTCCCCATGACTTTCTTCTGTGTGTATCAGGCGACTGGCCAAGTGGCGTTATGTGTGTGTGTGTCATCAAAGCTTCACAGTATCGGGGCACACCCACTCACACAGGGTTGCAGGATGAAGTTAAATGTTAAAACGGCCTGCCATAAGTCCCACCCCCAAGCAGAGGGCGGGACAAAGTCGGTTGTGCACCTGTCCAGTGTATGTTCTCCAACATGCGAACAATTGCATCTTGACATTATTTCACGAGAAACTACTGCAATGATCCCATAATATGTTTATATTTACAGGACTGCGAATTCTAGCTGATATTGTAAAAAGAATATTTTAAAAATCTAAAGTACAATCCAAACAACTTTCTCTACAATTTGTTTATTGACAAGACCAGCTTCTTGTATGGTTGCTTATCAGCATTCTATAATAATGTATTTTCACTATATGTTAAACATATGTGTTAGCCATCAGTGGTATTATTATAAATGACACCATAGCAGAACGGTAATATTATATATTTATAATTCCATTCTTGAGAACCAAAAATACAGTGAAGTTCCTGCCATCACTACCATATAGTAGCAGCATCCAAATTGTAAAAGTTGGTTTATTATTCACAAATGTTTGGTGTCTAGACAGTAAGCTTAGGCAAGTGTAGTGTGTGAGTGTAGTAATTTGTATTCTTAAATCTAGCAGTTAGTATTGATATATACATATACATCTATCTGGATCATCAATTATTTTTTCATTTTTCAAGCTAATTGTGAAGCACTTTGTTACTGCTGTTTTTTTTTTTTAAAAAGTGCTATATAAATAAAGTTTAATATTTTTTTTATTATTATTATTATTATTATTATTATTATTATTATTATTATTATTATTATTATAAAAATGCCAAGCAATTAATGATTCAATTTTCCGGGCTTTTTTTCACCATTTATTGACATTTTATAGACCAAACGATTGATTAATCAAATTTAAAAAAATAAAAAAATAAATAGGCGTCTTATTTAGTAATAAAAACTCATAATAAACAACTTTCATTTCCAATGACATAGTCATGAATCTAATAAAGAAGCTGAAATGTTGGTGAAAGACTCAGATACAGTAGTTGGTCCACATTTAGATTATCTTGTTGTCAGACATTATTTTGAAGTATTAGTACATATTATGATTTATATGACCATAAGAACAATTTCTTTTCCCCATTAATAATTAATAACAAATACATTTACAATCATTTCACTTCTGATGCAGGTAATATTTGAAATCCATAATTTAGCAGGACTTTTTGGTCTAAATCACGCGAGACTTCATAACTAGAGCATTGTGGCGACGAGAGTACACTAGGGTAGAGTTGTTGTCGGAGAGGGAGGAGGAAGGCTCAGAGTAGACAGAAGGGAGAGCTAGAGTGGGAATTAATAGCACATTAAGTAGGAGGAAATACAAAATTTAGCATGGCATCGGGGGACACCCTGTACATAGAAACGGATGGGTCAGAAATGCCAGCCGAAATAGTGGAACTGCACGAAATCGAAGTAGAGACAATCGAGACAACAGTTGTTGGAGACGACGGTGAACACCAGCCTATGATCGCTTTACAGCCTCTTGACACGGATGATCCGAACTCGATTCACCCGCACCAGGAGGTGATATTGGTGCAAACAAGAGAAGAGGTGGTGGGCGAGGATGACTCTGAACTGCACACGGATGACGGTTTCGAGGACCAAATCCTCATCCCAGTGCCCGCCGTGGAGGAGGACTATATCGAACAGACTCTGGTTACTGTCGCTGGGAAAAGCTCGTCGACAGGCCGGATGAAGAAGGCTGGAAGCGGAAAGAAAGCCGGCAAAAAGAGCTACCTGAGCGGGGGAGAGATGGGCCGAAAATGGGAACAGAAGCAGGTCCAGATAAAGACTTTGGAGGGGGAGTTTTCAGTCACTATGTGGGCATCGGGTAAGTTCACTTGAATTCCTGCAAGCTGGCCCTTCGCTTTGTTCTCAGCGTGTGTGCCGTGTGACGGGGCCGAGTTGGGGCCTTGTCCTCCGCTAAAGTGGGAAGTATTTCCCATCTCTGAGCCACATAAACCCCATTTGAAATGTTTTTGTTTTTATGGGAAGCCATGTTTTATGTGTCGATGGGCGCCGCCATATTTCCCCGGTCTAGAAAGTATGGCGGCCCGAAAAAATGGCGTTTATTTGGCCGACGAAGATGGCGGCGAGAGTGGGAGCGAGTGCAGCTGGCTCCGCTAGGCCGCTGTGGCGCAGTTCAGTTCAACTGTAACAGTGGAAGTGGTGCCTTCAGGAACCCCTCATACTTTACATTTCTCAGGCTTTAAACGCACCGCATGAAATATGGTTTAATAAGTGTAATTAACGCAAGCGAACTGGTTTAAAAGTTGTAGTTCCACTCATTGCTAGTGCTATGTATCAGTCATAGGTTTAATTAGACGTGGTATACTCGAAGTGCTTTTTTACCCTGGCTTTATAAAACATTGTATAATTTTAAAATGTGACGAGTTCATTAAAGAAAGTAATATCAACTTCTATATATTATTTCCATCGTCATTGTCCGTTTGGGACATTTGTAACTTATAAATGTGGATATTTGAGAAGTGGGCATGTTTGTAAACATGGCAGCATGATTCTTCATGCATCATTTCAGCCTCATGAACAAAATACAAGTTAATAATTTACTGGGAGACAAAATATTGAACACTTAACCCTTTTCTCACTCGGTATTTAAAAGTTATGAATTATACTCTATTTGCCCCATTATTCATGTTACAAAGCATCATGACACATTTGCTGGATGTGGAAAGAACGTGTTTTGAATACAGACTGTAAAAAAATATGTTTTACGTAGCTAATGCAGCCAGTGTACTGCAGGTTTATAGGGAAACTGTTTACAGTGTTTGACTGATATTTCCTGGTTACTATTGAGGACTATTCAACTTTGAGATGGAGTAATCTTATTACATCATAAAACTGACCTATCTATCAAAAAAGGTTTTCTGTCTTTTTTTTTAATTAGTAGTATATTAGTAACGGCATAGGGTGAAAGGAACTACTGGGTGACATGTGATAAAGCTATAGCTCTAAATGCCTTTAATCAGTTCTTCCCCCGTTATGGTACTGATCTGTCCCTTTCATTCAGATGACAAGAAGGACATAGACCACGAGGAGCAAATCACAGGAGAAAACTCACCTCCAGATTATTCGGAGTACATGACAGGGAAGAAGCTTCCTCCAGGAGGCATCCCAGGCATCGACCTGTCAGACCCCAAACAGCTGGCAGAGTTTGCAAGGTAAGTGATAATATAATTATGTTCATTCAAGCGAAATGATAGCAAATCATGATTAAAAAAAATTGTGTTCATACAGTTTGCTTCACTTAAAGCCAGTAATGAGAGCATTATTAAAAACTGTGGTGTAAAAGTAATGCATTTCATATGGTTAAAACAGCACATGCTGCACCATTGCAAATTCAGCTGTGATGAAATCAAATGACTGTGTGGCTTGGACTATTTCACGTACAGGTTTTTACTAAGTGATTTTTTTTTTATAGTAAAAAAATCAATGTTTGTTTGATTCAGGAATGTGGAACGTGGACAGTTGTGTCAGCTGTCTTCAGTGATGTGACTGGTTATATTTCTTTTGCAGAATGAAGCCAAGAAAAGTAAAAGAAGACGATGCACCCAGGACGATAGCCTGTCCACACAAAGTGAGTGCAGTGTTGTTTTTATCACTCCAGAATATACAGTACTGTTATAGATAAAGGTAGATGAAGGCAGCATTTCATCCCTTTACACTGACATGATTCAGTTGTTAAAACAACACTGTCAAGTGAACATGTCCCGAGGGAATCGCTTCATCTTGTTTCTCTCCCTCTCAGGGATGTACCAAGATGTTCAGGGACAACTCTGCAATGAGGAAACACTTGCATACCCACGGGCCTCGTGTGCACGTCTGTGCAGAGTGTGGCAAAGCCTTCGTGGAGAGTTCAAAACTGAAGAGGCATCAACTCGTACACACAGGAGAGAAACCTTTCCAGGTGAGTTTCTTCACTTTTTGCGTGTCAGTTCATCCTTTCTTAAGCTACATACATACATATATATATATATATATGTGTGTGTGTGTGTGTGTGTATATATATATATATAAGTGCAGTTATGCAAACCCTGCTTTTGCCATCTCAAATACCATCTTAAGCTATATATATGGTGTATATGTAGGTATCTATATATAGAGAGAGAGAGCGAGCAGTTATGCAGACTTTGCTATTGCCATCTCAAATAGCTGCCACTGAAAAATGATAGCAGTTCATCTGTGAGCAAAGCTGAGACACATAGCGGTATTAACTCAATCTCTCTCATCTTCAGTGCACATTTGAGGGCTGTGGCAAGCGGTTCTCTCTGGACTTTAACCTGCGCACACATGTGCGTATTCACACTGGAGACCGCCCATATGTGTGCCCCTTTGATGGCTGCAACAAAAAATTTGCCCAGTCAACCAACCTGAAGTCTCACATCCTCACACATGCCAAAGCCAAAAACAACCAGTGAATCATCCCTGAAACAGGCTAACAGCGACGACGTGAGCATACACCGGAGGATCTGACCTGTATCTCTGCTCCTTGACAGACAAACTAATATCCCGTGGCCTGCTTTGTTGTGAGATAAGAAGTCCCCTTTGTATCGTCTCTAGATAAAGATTTAAACAGAGAAATTACCTTTTCTCAAACTTTTTTGATATACATCTGGAGGGTTTGAACAATGAACTCGTGAGAACCCCACCTCCCTCAGGCCTCCTACCCAACTTTAGCGCTACCTGGATGGAACAATTTATGGTTTCTTCTTGTGAAGATGTTAATTCATGGATCTGCACCTAAAAACTTATTTATACCTTGACACAGCCAGTTAAAAAGTTTTTGCAATGTAAGTCAAATTTGCATCAATCCTCAGCAATGAAACCTTTTCAATTTTGTACTTCTCCCCAAGTGTGCATATTGTACACTCTTTGACATAAGCTCTGTGGTAATGTATGTAGTAA